TACATAAATGTTTGATCTTTAGAGTACTTTGAATTTTACTGGTTTCGTCAATAGTCTCTTACGTACCCATATCTTACGTAAGTTGGTTTATACAATTTGTCAGCCAAAATGTATGCAAGAAACGTTTTGTCCTCTTCAATTAACGGATACAGATGATGGTGAATGAGATGACAACGATATGTATTGTGAGGAATGCCGATCCGGTGATTCAGCTGATGAGCTTCTTCTCTGTGATAAATGTGACCGGGGTTTCACATGTCTGTCTCCGGCCAACCCTTGTTTCTACGGAAAACGGATCATGGTTCTGCCCATCCTGTTCTCGTCACAAGAAATTCAGACGTAAGTTTAATGGGCTCATGGAATTTTCTTTTCCGTTTTTTCTTCTTTTTTATTGAGATAGAAGCAATTGCAGATTCTTCGTCATATTTATTGGATCCCCAGCTGGTTTTGGGTTGTTCACCATTATTTTGGTTTAATCTTAATTCTTAAGGAATAAGATGATGAAAAATGTGTTGAAGGATAATTTTGATATTTTCAAAAATTTTATAAATTGACATATTTTGAAAATTTGAATACATTATAATTACACTAAGCCCAAAGTAGAGAGGGTAATTGAAAATTTTCCGTGAAAAAATATTTATAAAAACTATATATCAATGCAACACCCTTTTTTTAAAGAAAAAATAACCATCATTCACAAAATGGCATCGATTCCAAACCTTGATGAAATGAAGTTTCAACAGATGGAGGTCGTAGTGATCGGCCAGCCGAGACTCACTAGCTGAGCAAATAAGTAGTGTCATAGAAATTTCAGTCTCTATGCGAAACATGCTATCATGACCAAGTAGAAAATATAGTGGTCCAGTCAATTGTTCCTAACAAGTCAACAACCAGGCAACAATGGGAGTCAGCATAAGAAATGTTCCTGTATAGGTAGCCTAATCTATTCTCTAGGCGGTTTTTTCCAATGTGTACTGGTTTTCGGGTGAGATTTCTAGGAATCAGGACCCACACAGTTGTACTAATTTCAGCGATCTCCATTCTCCAGGGTCAAAACAATTATATATTTAGTACATTCTTCGTCCCTCAGTTTCTCAGAATGGGTCCTACACATTGCATCAGCGAAGAATGGCCATAGTAGTGTTTACCCATAGAATGATTGAAAACTGAAAATCGATTTCCTTTTCATTGGGAAACGTCAAATTTGGGAATCAAACGTTGAATCACATAAAGACCTGCGGTTAATTTGCTTGGTTGGTATCAAAAAACCTGCGGTTAATTTGCTTGCACATGATTCTGTGATACATCACACATGTCATATCGACCCTCCATGAAGGGAACGGGACAGGTTTCCCCGTCAGAGTAAGCCTGTGCTCACGCCATGCCAATAGTCTCTTACAATCTTACATTGGGAATATCTCCCTACCAAATAAAACACATAAGGAGATATAGAGTGGGAATCGTGAGTATAGATGTGAAAACATTTAGTGAATAGAAGATATAGAGTGGATTCAAGAATCATACCAACCAACATTGACCACTAAACGTAAGGTGTCACATGTCCCGAACTAAGGATCTAACGTGGGGATTTTATTTGACATATAATCGTCCCAGGATGCATACGACTTTGAAGAGGGGAGACAAGGGACACGGGTTTATCGATCTTAGGCTCTGTTCATTGGTCAATATTTAAGTTGATCAATCAGTAAGTTTACTATGATATCCATATTTGTTTGTCCTATATGATCATAGGGTAATTGAAGATATCGAAGAGTCACTAATTGATACCCTATTTTAAGGTGGGTAAACAATTTACACATACACCGATAAGATAAACTTCTCTTCCTACTTATGGGGGGTGTTCTTTTGGATTTTGAGAGGGGGAAAGTTAGTCAGTGAGATTTTGGTTTTCATTAGTCAAAATTTTCATGTTTATTTTGAAGATTTATGTGGGGGTTAGGGAAAGTTTATCATTGTTTTTAAAACCGGATTGGACTGGACGGCCGGACCGAAAAAACCAGTCACCTGACCGGTTCAATTTTCCTCCAAAACTGCTTTTTCCCCCAAAATCGTTGATTTTGGTCAGCAAACCAGTTAACCGTTCAAACAGTTTGAACCGTTTTCCAATTTTTTTGTCAAAACGGGCCGACCATTCGGGTTGAATGGTTGGACCGTTCAAACCGATAATCAGACCCCTAACCGGTTCGTTTTTAAAAACCATGAAGTTTATACCCATCTTCTACGTGGGTAAATAACTTTCCCACCTAGGGGAAGTTGCCAACACTTGAATGAGACAAAAATGCTCCTTTAAATAATAAATTTTTATGACTAAAATGGTCATTACCTTATTTACCTAGAAAATAAAAGAACATAAATAAATGCACTTATCCGAATAAGTATTTCCCAAAAAAAGCTTACCCAAATAATTACATTTACCCGAATAACTAATTCACATGGGGCCATAATGTACAAGAATACTGAAATTTCATTTATTTAAGTAAATTTAACCTGAAAAACAATTGCCCAGATAAACATATTTACCGGATAAGTAACCTCAACGTTCACCTTGTCTGATTGATTTGAGAATCAGAAACTCCACCGGGAGACACACTTTGGGGTCTCTAACGTTTTATGTAATAGTAGGTTTCCCAAATCACTATGGTCACTTCGGACGTTTTTAATGATAATTCTGGTTAATCGATAAAACCGTGACCCAAGTATCATTCTGGTTTTTAATCCGTTCCAAGTCTTACAATATTGCACCAAACAGTTAATTTGGTCAAAGATATGGTTTATTCAATTATTCCAAAGCGGCAAAGCCCCATGAATTGGGGCCAAAATTGGAATAGGGACTAAAGATGATAATATTCTAAGTTGATGTCCCTGTGTCTTGCAATAACAAATTTTTGTTGGGGTTGGGGTTGGTGTTTGATGTTAGGTAAAGTTAGCTGATAACTAAAAAACAAAACAGGCAAAACCAAACATGTACTTTTCTCGGGATGTATCAAACCAATAAGCGATTGAAACAGAAAGAAAGCCCACGTATACCAAACAAAAGCTTACGATAACAAGAGTACTGCCTCACGTAACAAGATTTTACCAAAACATATTCTTCTGGGGCAGAGAGAAAACATAGACAATCTACTAAAATATGTAGCCTTTCTGCCCCACCAACCAGTGGGAACCCTTGATCGGTCAACATCCTACATCAGCTCTGAATGTGATCGTCTCAGCCCACGCCAATCTGACGTCTTACCCCTCTATTCTCTCTGCTTCATGGGCTGCCTTGGGCTGTGGTTCATGGAGACATGGCCTGCTGCATCTGGCCAATTTTGGACAATGACACCTTCACTCAGTCCATCCCGCATGCATTTAGTGGGCCTATCAATACCCCAGTGTGTGCCCTACAAAAATGGATGCCATATATCAGAGAAGCATTATTATATGGTGTAAGATGCTTTGACCCTACCAAATTAAAGTTATACCCAAAAAACCCAGATTTCATTATCTGGGCTTGACCCATTTCAAGTGCTAGCCATGCTGATAGATGGGTTCTGATCCGGCCCTGATTTATGTAACCATTTGGGGTAGTGTCAAGTTAGTATTAGAACTTTCAAACATGTCATGCAGTACTTAAACTTTTAAAAAGTATCAAGTTGGTCCCTACCATTAACCAACCGTCAGTTATCTATAAAAAATGTCACAATTACCCCTCAAAAGAAGATACTATCCATTGTATTCTATGGTTTTATCTTGAGACTAAAATGGTTGAGGTGTTTGAGATTCTAGACTAATAAAGTCATTGTCTTCTACCTTTAGATCTGAAACACATTCTTGTCTAATTATTTCTTTACTTTCAATTATTATTTTCCTTTAACATATTTCATGTTTTTTTTCTCTCTTTTTCTTTGAAAATAACCCATTCAGTCTCAAGATATAAAAGACAGTAAATATATCTGGATAATTTTAACTGACGATGGTTAATGGCAGGAATAGCCTTGATACTTGACACTTTTTGAAAATTTAAGTAATGCATTGACACGTTTGAAAAGTTCCAATACTAATTTAACACTACCCCTAAAATTCAGTATACCAAAGTGGAATTTTCCTTTCTATTTATTGAGGTGGTAATACTTATTAGCTACTAATAGCAATTAGATATATAAAGCAGTCGGCCCCTACCTTTGTCTAGAACAAAACTTTGAATCTTATCTTTGAAAATAATGAGTCCATCGTAGCTTTGGATGTCGTGAAGGTAATCCCAACGGATTGTTTGTCCCAGCTGTAACCAGCAGCCTCTGCAATACTGTGCTTTTTCTTTTTTTATTTGTTCAAATTCATATAAGGAAAAGAGGAAGATGATAAAAGGCGTGAAAGGGAGATAGATAGTAGTTGGAACATGAAGCCCCAGAACTCTTCGGATTGGCAAAACCGCCCTTTTGCCCCAGAAAAAGCATTGTATCCACACAGAATTTGAAGGGGTATTGCAAAGCATTTTACGAGTCTTAAAAGATGTATTAGAGCCATTACCAAGAAAAGAAAAAGGAAAAGATGCATTGGAATCATTGAAACAGGTTCTTCCATGGGGTTTGAATGATCTTTGGCCATGATACTGCACTACTTAATTAGAGAAGTGAGAACATTTGGGGTCAATTCTCACTTTCTGTTAAAAAACAAGAGTTTCTTGTTATGGGTTTGACACTAATATATACGAGGATTAATATGGTCTGAGCAATTAATTTCAATTTGCAGTGTAACTGAATTGATCATCTCCTATATCCCTCATCATCATCTTGTTTCTGTTGATTCCAATTGCTTCATTCTAACTCTAGAAGAAAACTATACCTACTGTGTGAATGGTCATGCATTAAAAAAAGCCAAATTTGCATATATATAATTGCTGTGTTGATCAACATACAATTCAAAAATTCCTCTAAACCATCCACAGAATTCAAACTCATCACCAACTCCTACCCATTTTTCACCTAAGAAGAATAAGGTGATCTCAAAGTGGGACCTATGAATAATTTTTCATTTCTAGGATTCAAAAACATAAACAGTCAGAAGAATGCCATTTCTTTTTTTGGTAAGCAGAAGAATGTCATGTAGTCATGTTAGTTCATACTTCTTCATAACTCCATACAAAAGGGTCTAAAATGGAAACTGCAAAGATAATGGTAATTGATGACTGCATCTGCTATTTGAAAGATAAAAGAGAAAACCTATACATAGATATACCCCAGACCCGATCCATCATGATATAATGCACTTCCTAGTTCCTACAGTACCAAAGACTAAGAATCAGCAGAGACCATCAAATCTCTATTTGCATGGTTCTATGGCCCAAGAGCTATCATCCGTTTCTTTTGTCGATTTATGCTCTGGACACAAGTACTGTTACAGCATGAAACCCAGAAGGAAGGAAGAAAAAAAAGGTACTGTTACAGCTGAACTCTCAATGCAAAACTAAGTATCAAGTAGTTAAATTGAGACTCTCCATTGCTAACTCAGACTCTAAGCAGATAGATACTAAGCTCAGGACCTCCAGTACCATCAGGATTCATCATGTAGAAAGCCTCAGAATCTCTGGAGCCCACGACTCGCTCAAATTTAGCCCTCATGTACATGAGTTCACCGTCGGACCCGGTTCCGTTCCCCGGCAAGACACCAGCTCCCATTGAAATTGGTTCCACGGCTTTCAATACCTTCCACTCCTCCGGCCTGCATTCACGCTTGGTTGCACTACCGCACTTCTTCCCATTACAGTAAGCCGTCCACTTGGGCTCCTGAAGCAATCTCACGCCTTTGTTGTCGAATTTCTTCTCGCACTCTAACGCAATTCGGACCAACCCAGATGCCATTTCTCGAACCAAACCGCACGTTAGAGTGGTAAGCTCGATCAGAAAGGCCGGATACGACTTGGGATCCTCCTGAAATGCAAACTTCACAGGCCCACGTCGATGGCCAAAAAGAGTGCCTATGACTCGGGTACCGAGTCTTGAAGACAAGTGTGAACGGTTTTTAGTGAAGACTGTAAGAACAGAACGGAGCCTTGCAACGGTCACAACGGGCAGTTTCTTCCTTTGACCTGGCACCGGTATCGAGACTGCCGGCGTTGGCGTGGAGCCCTTAATTATCTCTATTTTCTCGTCGGAGAGATGGGAGCAGGAGTTGAAGGAGGAGTTGAATGTCATCGTTTCGTCTTCGTCGTCACCTTCAATGACCTTTCTTCTCCAAGGAAAGTGCCTCTTCGAGAAGGAGAAGGATGATTCGTGAGGAGTTTTGGCCATGATTGTCTTCATGTGAGCAAAGAAAGAAAAGGATGAAGCTCAACTCGGTAAAGATGAAAGAGAGAGAGAGAGGATTCTGTTTACTTTCTCTTTTGCTTTGTGGATGTGTGAGCTTATTTATTTATTGATTATATTATATTATATTATTTGGTTCTGAGACTTTCCGTCAGCTCGATATGGTACACTGGTACCGGTGCTCACTCATGAGAGAGACTTGTTGCTGGGAATCCCGTCAAAATAAGGTGACCAGCCCCCACCTAACTGTACAAAAAAGAATGAAGAGTAACACGCGAAAGAGAGAGAGTAAGAGAGATTAAGGAATCACTTTGTTGATTTGACAGAAAATAAGAGAGATAAAAAGAGAGAGTCCAGGGAAATTACTTACTACATATTTCTCTTTAATTTTTTTTATCAAACCAAACACAGTCTTGGCAATGTTCACCAATGTTTGTAGGGGTGTTCATCAAAAACCTAAAAACTGAACTGAATCAATAAAATTGAACCAAAATATCTGGTTAACCAAACTAATTGGTTTAATTTCTATTAGATGTTTAGAAAAAAAAATGAAGGTACTGGTTTGGTTTTGGCTAACCAATACTAAAAATCTATGATTAACCGAACCAATCGGTATATGTGTTTTTATATATTCTATATCATTTATAACATAATATATTACATATATTTATATTATATAATTATATGTATATTGATAATATATATTATAAATTCAAAAAAAAAATCAAAGAATTGAACTGATTAATTGATTGGTTTCAGTTCGATTTTAGTTTTCAATTTTCAAAAACCAAAAGACCGATTCAGTTTATGAAAAATGCCCACAGTTCAAACCGTGAGCAACCCTACCAATTTGTGTGGATTTTGTTTTTAAAAAGAAAAACGACTGGATGGTGGTATAGAAATATAGGCGCATGCTATGAGAATTTCATCATTAAACAAGCCTCAATCTCATCAAGGTTTTCAATTTCGAAGAGATTCCATTATGATTTCTTACCTCAAATAGGTTGTGATTATGAAAGGCTAAAGCTAATTAATTATGTGCAACCAATTAGATAGTGCACAAAAACGAATTGAGATCTTCTACCAACAAAACATATTCCAAACCTCTACCAATTAGATCCAACACTGCACATCTCATTATGAGATTGGGTCCCACCATAAACGTGGAATTCGCTATTTATGAGATGTGCGGTGTAAGATCATGTTGATAAAGGGTTGGAACATGTTTTGTTGGCAGGTGATCTAGACCACAAAAACAATCAAATCAATAAAATTAGCAATAAAATTCTAGAACAACTTGTAAACAATAAAATTTGATTAGACAGAATCCAATTCAATGGGTCCAATTCCCCAACAACAACCCTAATTATATTGATACAAAAAAGAAAAAAAAATCAAATACAACTTAAGACTGCATTTGTATTTTTGCCAAACATATTGGATTGTTATGTACACAAATAGGGATTCCAAGAATAGAATCTATTTTTGTATATGGGAAAATCTATGATGCTGAAAAGGTATAATAACAAAAAGGCTTTCACCAATTACAAAGCCCTGCAAATTTTGATGAAAATCCACCTGATTGGTTACTACTTTTATAATATTAGTTAATAGGTTGTAAGTTTTTCCGGTATCATATTTTTCTGGCATCATAGCCAAACCCTTTTTATATTGACCAACTTTGAGTATAAGAGTTTGCTTCCATCTCTCATTTTGATTGCACAAGTGTTGGGAAAAACAAATTTACTTTGGTATTCATTACAAAAACATACTCTTACCAAATATTATGATTTTCTATCTTAAAAGTACTGAATTTGTACTTGTCTCATTAGTACTCACCAGTAGTGTAAATTTTGCGTCTCGAAAATTAATGCAAAATCTTGCACCACCTTCCTCCTACCACATTTCTCTCTCATATAAAGTGAGATTACGTCATCTTTCTTTCTACCTTATTTTCAAACAAATAACATTCCTTCTACCTCCATTCTCTTACACATAAGGTGGGACCATACCATCTTATTTCCAATTTTACTTTTCACAAACAAACAATACAAGGTCAAATTTAAAGCAAAAGTAACTAATATCTAACCTATTTACTCTCCCATGCATTTATACTAGTGCAAATTTGCACCACAACCAAGTGCAGCACTTGTTCAAGGTTGGAAGTTGGATTCATAAACAAGGTTTGTAGCTTTGGTTAGTTTAGGCCATGTTTGGTTCAATTCTCATTCTTTCTCTTTATTACCCAAGATGAAATTCTAAAATGGACAAAAATGGGTAAAAATAGATAAAATGAGAAGATACCGCTATGAACCAGACATTTTTTCCCTAAACATGAATTGTTTTCATACCAATAAATGTCCTACGTTGTTCATTTTCATTCTTAAAAAAAAATGCTAGTATTCATAAACCACCGGCCTAGGTCTCCAAAAACTATTGGCATAAATGTTTACCGGTGGATGGCTGACAGTCAATGTCTGTCAAGGTGATTTTCTATGGTAGTCTGCTAGCAAATAGGGTTGTCAATTGGACTGGATTTGGTCCAATCTGGTCCAATCAAATATTGGTCCATTTACAATTGGACTAGATCAAATCCAGTCCAAATCCATACAAATCAAGTACAATGCAAAGTGAATGAATACAAAAGTACTTTCATAAAAGTACTTTAGTAAAAGGTACTTCTATAAAAGTGCTTATGTAAAAATATTTTTATAAAAGTGCTTGTGTAAAAGTACTTTTATAAAAGTGTTTTCATAAAAGTACTTTACTTTTGTAAAAGTACTTTTCATAAAATTACTTTTATAAAAGTGCTTTCATAAAAGCACTTTCATAAAAGTGCTTTCGTAAAATTACTTTCATTAAAGTGTTTTTATGCCGGCTTCAATTTTGATCGGTTTCAAATAGACAAGGGTTTAGCCTCATGATTGGATTATTGAGAATTTGGTTTAGGTCTGATTCAGACTGATAAGAATATGGGCCAATTTATTTTGGATTATAATTTATAATGGACCGTTCAAATCTGATTTGATAAAGTTTGGATTAGATTGGATGCAATCCAAAATTGGTCCATTGACACCCCTACTAGTGTAAACATTTATGGCATCTGATGAGGGGGAATTTGGCACTCCAATGACATCACACCACGTAGCACTCCTGAACCGTTGCTTAACACCTCAGTATCACATAGACAATGACTTGCCTTTGCCTAGATCATAGACTCCACCTCAAATGCACTTCGGACACATCATGCACACCCTGAGAGTCTACAATCACCACATTGGTAGGGTCGATCTGTAGGCACCTCGGTGCAAGGGGTGATCTCCCATCGAGGTCCCATCAACCTAGCCGAGGTCCAGATGGCAACCTTCCTAACATAGCAATCGAACTCTTCTGCATGTGCCTTATCATCTCTGAATCCTCCAGAATCACATCACCTAACCGATGGAACTGGCTCCCGTGTTGCCCACTTCGGAGGTAATCGGATAAGCCCTTTTGCTTTACGCGAAAACTGTCTCCGAGCGTGAAACCACCTCCGAGTGCAGCAAGCAGATAAGCCACATCCTCCCGGAAATCTAAGACACGCTACGTGAAGCTCATGATTGTGTGTGCCTATATAAAGGCGCCCCTTCAACCAGAGGCAGTGTGTGTGATTTACCACTCATAACTCTCTTACTTACTCGCTTTTTATCTCTCTTCAACCTCATCGCAAACTTAAGCATCGGAGTGCCCACCCTGGGTACTTTGACCGCTGTTTCTTTGCAGCTTGGCTAGCCAACCTAGTCAGTCTGTCATCCGAGTTGTCCTCCAACGAGGAGAACAATGTTGCACACCACTAACTGCAGTTTCATAAGTAGAGTTTCCTCAAAGAATGAAAATGAGCAAGATGGGGCATGGTTATTTTTCATGTTGGAGGCTACTCAATTTTTTTGTTATGGGTCTGATTTTTCATTCTAAAAAGAATGTGTCCCATGGCATGAATTTTGTAACCAAACACTAATGTTATTCAATCTTGCCCCTTCTTACCCAAAATGAACAAGAATTAAAAAACATGAAGCCTAGAACAGCAAACCAAACATAGCCTTATTCTCTAACTCTTGTGACGCTGTTGCTTCATGTTTGTCACCTTATTGGCATTCCCAACCAACGTCCATGATTCAATAGGTTTGTCACCTTCATGTTTGTCGCCCATTTTGTGGGACCATCCACATCTAACGTCCATGATTCAATAGGTTCAATGAGGGTGATCCCTTACACAAAATACTTAATGTTTCAATGATAATCTTTGAACCTAGTTGTTGGGGAATCTATGTCGGAGGGACCCAACCTATTGAATGCCTAGTTTCATCGTCATGATGCTCATCAGATCTCTTGAGAGTGTCAACCTAGTTGAATTTTTACGATTCATTACACTGGAACATGGAGCTAGTTAACAAAGCTTAAATTGTTACATTAATTATTATAGTACCATTTCTTCTTCTCTCACCTACCTAAACCTAAATTTGTAGATCAACTAACTATGATTGTTGATCTGCAAATTAACTGAAGGTGAGATAATTAAACCATCAGCATCTGCTAATTACGTTATGGTTTTCCAAATAAACAATCAATATCAACTATACCATTCAGACATTATCTCAATTATTAAATGCCCCAATGTTTGATTTTTGAGACTTATCTATAAACAGTCCATTTAAACAAGCTATTTCACAATGTTGGTCAAGGCTATTTGGGTCTTGAGAGGGGTGGATTGGAATAAAAATAAAAGGATAAAATACAAAAAGCTCCTCTAAAGTTTACGACAATCATAAAAACCTCTATAGTTACTATAGTTTTATCGTAGCAAAAACCTCCCGGCTAATTTTTCCAAAATACCTGTTCTCCCCTTTTACGAAATAATATGCTCTGTTTTTACTAAAATACTCCTATCTCAGCAATTTCATAATCAGCTCGAATACTGTTCATCTTCTTCCTCGTGAAGCACAGTGCCGGAATGGCGGTGCACTCCCCCCCTCCTCTTTCTTTCTCTCTCCGCCAACACGAAATAGCATTATCCATCATTCCCTTATCCTTGACTG